AAAATGCAGGACAGACAGGCTGCCTTGGGTGGCAACCGGTCTGTGTGTCTTCTGAAGACACACAATGTCGTTTCCATAGCTGAAGGCATTTTTGGAACTCTATTTTTTGGATAGCGACCGGCTGTCTCATCGCATTATCTTGGATTTCCTTGATGCTTTGAAATCTTTTACCATTCAAGGGAGATCTCATTTTTGAAGAGGAAAATTCGCAAGGGTATATGGTGGTTGTCAGCATAGGAAATATTGGTTTGACCAAAAATTGCTTAAACTCTGTCTCTTACTCTGTAAAATTTTGGCCTTGTATAGGGTGAACATCATTGTATATATATATATATATATATATATATATATATATATATATATATATATATATATATATATATATATATATATATATATGTTTATCAAGCTTAGGTAATCCGTATGGGTAGACGCGAGGAGGATGGTATCCAGAGAGCTCAATGTAAAATTCAGAGCAGATATGTTTGAATAAAAAGACAGACCACGTTAAGATTCCATGTAATATATATATATATATATATATATATATATATATATATATATATATATATATATGCCCCAGGTCTCTGAATTCGGTCCTTTAAAAAGTGTCGATGGTCCTGCACAAAACCTTCACAAATATAATCAAATTTCTTGTGCTGTTGTCGGGCTGTCGGTTTCCTGGGAACTGATCTGCTTGACGCTCATACGTCGAATTCGACGGGAGAGTCGACTATATATATATATATATATATATATATATATATATATATATATATATATATATATATATATATATATATATATATATATATAATAAATAGATAGGTTAGTTAATAACGGAAAAATGGTTTTAAATCCAGTATTTTCGGACACGCCTGTGTCTTTCACCAACGGAGCGATAAATAAACATAGAAATGGGAATTACACATTGACAGATGTTTTGTGGACGGTGTATGTTCTGGTGGAGATCATATTAGTAGCAAAAACCCGATCTCTGTCTGATTCCGAGCTGTGCGAAACATTTTATGAAAATAAACTTAAATTTAAAATTTGGATCAGTGTTAATGAGTTAGGCCGGTCTATTATTTGTAGGGTGAGTGGAGGAGTAATATTTAATAAATGTTTTTGTATTGATTATATTGGTACCCTTTCGTTTGTCCTTGTTTTATTAACTAACCTATACATTTTACATAATATGAGAAGCACTAGTGGACACTTCTAATTATATATATATATATATATATATATATATATGTATATATATTTCATTGAATACAAAAGACAAGGTGCTTTTATTTAGTTTTTAATACAATTTCTCATGCGAACTAATATATTTTTTTTTCAGATGATCACTTATATAAAACTGTCCAAATGTTCTTTTTATTCGAGTGCTTTCGGCTATACATTTAAACATTTTCAAGGATTAAATATTTTAACTGTTAAAAAAGAAATATTTAATCTTTAAAAATGGCTAAATCGATAGCCGAAAGCGCTCGGATAAAAAGAACATTCTGACAGGTTTTATATATGTTGAAGCTTCGATAAGCATGGAATAATAATAATACAACACAAAATGTACGTTAACAAAATGTATTGAAACAAGGAAAAGGTACACAATATTGGGAGTTAGTTTTGGTATATTCTTGCGAAGACTGTTCCTGTAGAATGGGTTGACTTAATCGCAGTCAGGCAGAGTCTCTGGATTGGGTCTCTTGTTACTCCCCTCGTCTTCCCGGTACCAACCCATATTTATATGGTCGGTACTCCACTATGTAAATTAGGTGGATCGTACCACAACAATATAATTTATCATCTGAAAAGAAAAACAAATATTAGATCGCATGAGAAATTGTATAAAAACTAAATCAAAGCACCTTTTTTGTCGTATTCAATGAAATGTACATTAAAGAAGGATTCTGCCTAAATACACACACACACACACACACATATATATATGTGTGTGTGTGTTTGTGAGTGTGTGTTTTTTTTATGTGTGTATTATTATACCAATTTTCAATTTTTATTGGTTATCACCATTGCTTGCTGTTCTATAAATACGGTACTTATTCTAGTAAATGAAACCCTCTTTACGATTTTTGTGTTTTCTTTTTTTTTGTTTTTTTGTATTCTCTTTGTGTCAAAAAGTTCACATACCGTATAATAGACAGCCTTCAAATTCAAAGACAGTTACCACCTGAAGATCTATTTTTCTCTCTCTATCGTCGCACAGAATGTAAACATGGACGCATTTTACGTCTAACTATTCGCTGAAGTGGATGTTTAACTCACAGATACGATGCAACCCAGCACTACATCCCGGTGGCATTTATTTAAATATTCATTTTCTGAAAGCCTGATATGTCTATTCAAGACAGAGTATTTGACATCGCTCGACATATGTGACGTGCCTCGTAGCTGAAAATAATAAGGTATTCGAATTCGCTGCTAGATACTAATGCTCAAGTCTCTACGGAAAAAAAACAGAGACATACAAATA